TGGTGATGACTAGCTGCCTTCCCTCTAGTCTTACACTGCTAAATTAGGGACGGCTATCGCAGATAGCCCTCGTGTAGCTTTGCGCGAAATTCAAAACAAACAAACAATTCACTGGGTTAGAGGAACTCTCTAAGATGCTTCCAATACCGCTGGCCATGGTTTTATTTCTTGGCTATCAGGCAGCACTAATTCTACTGAAAAATCTTTTATTTTACCAAGAAATACTGAAGACAACCGCACACTACCCTAGGAACATGAGATGTCAAATTACACGCGTGAGAATATATTGATATCTGAAGCATTTTTTGTTCGTTGTTTTATAATTCCTGACTTCTAATTTTTTATGTAAAATTTATGTAAATCCGCTTAATACAAACACAAACGACGACATGTTTTATATACTGAAAGCATTGCAGATGTGTTGAAAGTGAACTTACATCGTTCTCATTTACAACAAGTGTCGATAAAAATTAGTATTTCCATGTTTCATTACAAACAGATTAGACAGGAAATTGCATCTGGGTTTAGTAGCGTTAAGTCTCACGTTACAGAATTGTTTTACAACGTATTTTTTTAGTTCATGTTTGTTTGGAATTAAGCACAAAGCTACACAATGGGCTATCTGTGCCCTGCCCACCACGGGTATCGAAACCCGGATTCTAGAGTTGTAAGTCCGCAGACATGCCACTGGGGAGCTAGTTCCTGTCTTTCTCTTTTAGTCGTACGGTTTTGGTTAATTATTTTTACCCACTGAAGTTTTTAACAATGGTGCCATAGTAAATCTTATCATTCTGATCGAATTTTTCGACTTGCATTGAATACAATTATTCCGAATTTAATTTTTTTCAAAACTATCTATAGAAAACTCTACTTGCAACAGAATAGTAGCACAAACTGAACATCGTCTACTGTTCTTGATCCAATGTTTTTTCTCTATAATCTCATAACATATTTTCTTACCGTACAGAACTGCTCCCACCAGTTTTTAGTTTATCTACTTGTTTCGATATGTCTGTGTAGTTACAGAACTTAAATTGTCCTTTTTTTTTTAATAAGTAATTAATCACGCAGAACAACAAGTGCTTCAAACTCAGGCCCGGCATGGCCAGGTGGTTAGGGCTCTTGACTCGCAAGCTGAGGGTTCGAATCCCCGTGCCACCAAACATGCTCGCCCATTCAGCCGTGGGGATGATATAATGTGAAGTTCAATCGTCGGTAAAAGAGTAGCCAAAGAGTTGGCTGTGTGTGGTGTGACTAGCTGCCTTCCCTTTAGTCTTTCACTGCTCTGTGAATTACGTGTTACATTGACCACGTTTTGTTTATTACAAGCATAAGAAGCTTACCTGGTGTATTGTTACTATTCTCCAAGGGTTCAAAGTAAATTCAAACTGAATTTCTTATCAAAGTAATAAACAACCCAAAACAAAGCTTTTAATTTACCTTGAAAAATCCCTTGCATCCCTCGCAAGTCCGAACTCCGTAATGTTGGCAAATTGCATTGTCCCCACACACAGCGCAGAACCGAGATGTGGAAGGGCTAAGGTTTCTGGTTATGATTTTGGATGGGCAAGACTGGACGTAAAGGCTGTATGGTTCACTGAAACCAACAGAATATACATATACTTTCCACCGTTAAAAACAACGCTACGAATCAGGGTCACAACGGTATTAATAAAAGTCATCGGTTTCTCGTGTAAAATGAGTATGAAAACCAGCCTGATGATCTCCAATACTGGATACTTACTATTTACATTTGAAAAGTTAATATTCAAACTATTATCAAAATTAATGGAATAAAATTAATATAAATACACATTGTATCATCTATGCAATTTACAAGTTAAGAAATGGACAGCAAAGTTTATACTGTTCTTAAGTACAACGTTAAACATATATAGAAGTCTATGAAACTGACGTAAATGCTCGAGTGCTTTTGACGAATAGGGTTAACGTATGGCCAGTTCTCAAAAGTTAGAGTGCTTCTTTTTTTTTAATTTTCCAACATTTTGTTGTGATTTATGGTGCCATATTTTACAAAATGTTTGAATAAATTTAACCCTAGAATTATCAATGCCCTATCAACGTTACACAAAATAATTTAAAGAAAAATATTATTAGCCTTACAATTAATCCCACTTTGTAAAATCACACAGTTATTATGTATTTTACATAGAAAATGTGAGATTTCACCCAGTTTTTTTTTTTTTATTTAAACCATGTGTTACAAAGGCAATAGCACAAAAACTACTTAATGTAACGCAAAACATGGACCCCATTGGTAGTCAGTAATTTAAAGTTTAAATAGTTCAGTAGGATAGTCTAATGGGACTAAGAACCCAGTTATTAAGGTATAAAACAAAGTAATCCGAGTTATCATTTCATGCTGTACAAAGCTTAAACGTGTAACTCAACACCAAAGATGCTAGGCGTATTCTAATTTCGGACCTCGAGCCATACTCTACAGGGTGTCTCTAGGAGTTGAGAAAAGGATAAAAGGTTTTCTTTTTGACGGTACGAATAAAATTTAACAACATCTAGATTTTCACAGATGTAAGGGTTGGGAATCTTTTATAGCACAACGAATGACATACAAATCACCACCAGTTTCACAGAAGTAATCAGGGGAGGTGAAGAGATCTTTTACAACATAGTGAATGACATACAAATCACCACCAGGTTTAGAGAAGTAAGCAGGGGAGGTGAAGGGATCTTTTATTACACAATTAATGACATACAAATCATTACCAGTTTTATAGAAGTAAGCAGGAAAGGTGAAAGGATCTTTTATAACACAATGACTGACACTAATCAAATACTTTTCACAGAAGTAAGCAAGGGAGATGGAGGGATCTTTTATGACACAATTAATGACACTAATTAAATCCAATTTCACATAAGTAAGTAGGAGAGGTAAAAGAATCTTTTATAACACAATGACTGACACTAATCAAATACGTTTCACAGAAGTAAGCAAGGGAGATGGAGGGATCTTTTATGACACAATTAATGACACTAATTAAATCCAATTTCACATAAGTAAGTAGGAGAGGTAAAAGAATCTTTTATAACACAATGACTGACACTAATCAAATCCAGTTTCACAGAAGTAAGCAGGGGAGGTGGAGGGATCTTTTATAACACAGTGAATGACACAAAAATCGCTACCAGTTTTACAGAAGTAAGCAGGGGAGGGGAAGAAATCTTTTATAACACAGTGAATGACATACAAATCACCACCAGTTTTAAGTGAGCAGGGAAGGTGAAAGGATCTTTTACAACACAATGAGTGACACTAATCAAATCCAGTTTCACAGAAGTAAGTAGGGAAAGTGAAGGGATCTTTTATAACACAATTAATGACATACAAATCACCACCAGTTTTACAGAAGTAAGCAGGGGAGGGGAAGGGATCTTTTATAACACAATGAATGACACAAAAATCGCTACCAGTTTTACAGAAATAAGCAGGGGAGGTGAAGAAATCTTTTATAACACAATTAATGACACTAATTGAATCCAGTTTCACAGAAATAAGTAGGAGAGGTAAAAGGATCTTTTATAACACAGTTAATGATATACAAATCACCACCAGTTTGACAGAAGTAAGCAGGGGAGGGGAAGGGATCGTTTATAACACAATGAATGACATACAAATCACCACCAGTTTTACAGAAGTAAGCAGGGAAGGTGAAAGGATATTTTATAATACAATGACTGTCATACAAATCACCACCAGTTTTAGAGAAGTAAGCAGGGGAGGTGAAGGGATCTTTTATAACACAATGAATGACATACAAATCACCACCAGTTTTAAATAAGCAGGGAAGGTGAAAGGATCTTTTATAACATAATGACTGACACTAATCAAATACGTTTCACAGAAGTAAGCAGGGAAAGTGAAGGGATCTTTTATAACACAATTAATGACATACAAATCACCACCAGTTTTAAGTAAGCAGGGAAGGTGAAAGGATCTTTTATAACACAATGAATGACATACAAATCACCACCAGTTTTACAGAAGTAAGCAGGGGAGGTGAAGGGATCTTTTATAACACAATTAATGACACTAATTAGATCCAGTTTCAGAGAAGTAAGCAAGGGAGGCGGAGGGGATGTTTTATGATTGAATAAATGACTATCTAATCATAAGCAGTTTATAATAGGAAAGGGTTAAACTAAAAAACTATTTGATTAATAAAACAATGGTCTTTTTTCAGAGAAGGGGCCTTTGTGATTGAATGACACTGCTAACATAACTAGCTTTTCAAAGTTTGCTGGGAGAAATGAGGAAGGCTTTTATGACTTTATAATTGGTACATTAGATTTTTTGTAGATTTTGGTTTCATGATCACTTAGAAAAACAAACAAACTTGGTTTGCGTTGCGGCGATCGGATATCAATCGTTGTCATGTCTATACGATCGATCACCTAAGTCGAATTTTTAATTAGTAACTATTTATTTCACTTTTTATTTTCTAATTATGAGCCGAAATGTGGAATAAAAAACTAACACTTATTTATAAAAATTTGAATATAAAATACAACTTGAAATAATAGTAATAATAGAAATAATTATTTAGTCGTATAGGCTACTAAAACCTAACAATGACTGTTTCACCAATGTTTAAGTTTATAAAACTATGATTTTCATATTTATATCAATGTTCATGTTGTTTAGAGACACTATGGAATGTGTAGTTTTGCCTTCTCATAATAACATGTAAACATACTGGTAAAACGTAACGTCTATACCAAATTTCTTATTCTAAAATTTTTATACTCTGAAATATACTTAAACTTTTCTTTAAGAAAATTACCTTTTGAATAAGTAAAAATCCCAAGAACCCAGTTGAAGCTGTAAGCTACTCGAAACATATGGGTTTTTCTGCATTACCAAATAATAAGTAGCTTTAGGTTTCTCAAACTAAAGCAGGGGATGTATGAAGTAGCTTTAGATTTCTCTAACTAAAGCAGGGTGTGTGTCGAGTAGCTTTAGGATTCCATAACTAAATCGGGGGGATGTATTGATTGAGTCTACTACTAATTTAGATACTAGTAGACTGTTTCTGCTTACAAAGTGAGATATTAGAAAACAATGGTTTTAAGTAAAATACCTTGGTTGAGATGTCAGTGAACTAGAAATAGTCACCGAAAGTTGCCTTGGTTTCTTAGAAAGTACATTAGTTGATGAAGATGTTTCTAGATCTTCTGCTGGAAGATAAATTTCTAAAGGAGAATTGTTAGTCTGTAAATTAAACGTAGGACTCTCAGATAGTGATGGTACTGGTAACATTGCAGGGAAAATAGAGGGTTCTTCGAAATTAGAGGAGGATGGGATTTCCATGGGTTCCTGATACATCGCCTGTGAGAAAGTTGTTGATTGCACTGTTACCAATGGGCTAGAATAGCAGGAAGATAAGTAGGAAACCGATAGTGGCTGTGAAAGTGGAATGCCTGGAGAAGACATCTCTGTCCTGTAAAGTTGTGAAGACTGGAATGGAAAGGATGAACTTAGGGATTGTAGACTAACTAACGAAGCTGAAAGACTCTCTGTCACGGCTGGGGGCTCTAGCTGTCGCGACAGTACATCTTCAGACTTGAAGGAGAAGACTTGCGACTGGTTCGCATCACGTCGATACCTTGGAGAGTACGTTTCTTGAAAGCTGGGGAGGGTGCCCGCACCAGTAAACATTATAGCGAATCCATCCGTGGAGTTAGGCAAAGACGTCGAGGAAAGTGGAGAACTTTCAGGCAGGAGCTCCACAGTTTCATCGACATCCAAGGCTGGAAGATTGCACGCTTCGTCGCTGAAACTCTTCTCGGAAAATGGCATGCTGTACTCTGGACCCAAGGTGCTGCTGGGCAAAGTAAAAGAATTGCCCTGTAACGAGAGTACGTTTATTAAAGTGATCTTTTAACAACTTTAAATATTACATTAAATCTCTTGCTGTAATATTTGAAATAAATATTATATAACGTATAGGGAGTCATTTGCTAACATAACGAAAATAATAGAGAATGCTAACTTTCTAATGAGGATGCTCCCTCCCCCCAAAAAGAAATTATACAGTCTTTTAGCGTCAAGAAGTTAAAGTATATTACGTACCGAAAGCATTTGAATTATCATATTTCTTTAAACGGCATCTGCGCAATTCGTTAGCTTGTTGGTGAAGAAATGGTTTTAAATATTTAAGAATTGGTTTATGAAAAAAAAGTTAAATGAATATTTTGTGTTTAATGTAAAGCTACTAAGACAGCTTGTCAGCAGAGTCCTCCTACCCACCATCCACGCTGACGGATTGAATGTAGATCTTATAAGGCACTCACAGATAAAAGTAGGGGAATACTTTGTAATGTCACATGGATTCGAACCTGGCTTGTCAACTCCGAAAACCAGAGCTTTACCCTAAGGCTAACCTGCTCTCAAAATAATAATAATTATAAAAGACATTTGAATTATATATATATTAAATCAAAACCATACTAAAAACTACATTTTGCAGTTATGTTTATGGAGGTGCATGTTTCAAATTCGGATCCAGGAATCTGTTTTAAGAGATAAGATTTCAATTTTAGGTTGAGTTGCTCAAACAGAAAAATAAAACAACAACAACAAAAACACATAGACACAAAGTTTAGTCTTAATAACTTGCATTGAAATTATCCGACCAGCAAAATATCCACAAGAAACGCCATGTAAACCCGAAATGATAGTTTGACCTCAAGTAGAAATAATTGATATGTAACAAAATCGTCATATACCTTAGAAGTTCTTTTTCGTATTCAAGAGAATATTTGGAGTAGGTTTAACTTTTCCGTTTATGTGAGCACTTATGTATTTATGTTGAGATAAAAATAGAAATTTGTGTAACATTTCTGTAGATTTATGACTGACGAGTGTCAGTTTTTCCAGCAACATTTGCAAAAAAGCCGGTTTCTAGGTGGACAGGATACACGATTTTTGGGTGTTTTAGAAAAAGAGATAATAACAAGTGCTAAAATCTCATGCAAACCGTTTCCTTTTTAATTGATATTTTGTTGTAAAAGTAACTTTGATATTTGAACACTTTAGCATAAATGCCTTACTTGAAAAAAGGAAGCATTAAATATAGTTGTGTACCAAAGGCGTTTACTACTGAGTAAACTATATTTCTTACTTTCATCATTACTATTTGGAGAGATCAGGCTGGTAAAGTTGGTAGCTTGAGTTAAAGTGCTTCTTTTCTGTACATTTGATCTTTATTTTTCGTAAGCGCACGGACAACCTTACTATGGAGATATATTATTGTTTACAGTAAAACTGAAGACTTCAAGAAACAGTTATATTTCGTTTGATAAATGGTATACAGTCAGTGTCTTGGTAAAGTTTTCGATTATTATTTTTACAGAGGGTTTGATGAGCACGTTATATTAAAACGATTTTGGTGCCTCACCACGTCGTTACAGACCATGTCGCCACATCAGATTATGCTCTATCTGACGACCATGCATCATCTTGACAGTAGCCCTGTAGCGTTACTTCCATTGCAAAAGGATGAGTCATAAGACTTTCATGTTCAAAGCACACAACTCATTTGTACATGCTTTCAATAAACCATCTAGTTTATGAAGAAGACTGTTCCTATAATGCCTGTATCGCACAGAAACCCATAGGTGCTGTGTTCGGCGACATAATCGGTATGGTTTCCTATGGAATAGTATGAATACCCGTTTTATTTTCCAGCTGCTTCAAATATGCGATGGTTTAACAGAAGGTAAGATTAGAAGACTTATCTTGGTGAACCCATACCATTTTGGCCTCGTTTCCGGATGATTATCTTGCGTACTGTTGCTTGAGACACGTGGACGGCTTCTGCTGCTTACATTTGTGTTTTTGGATAGCCACTTGTTACAAGGCGCTGCCCTTCGCTTACCACCCCTGGGGTGTGATTTGTTACAAGCCTCTTTCTGGTCCTAGTTCTCCAAGTCAAGTTGATCCATTTTATTTGTGTTTTCTGATAACATTAATTGCTAGAGATACCTCAACTTTGAAATTCTAAATCCTCGATTTAAACACCTCTTTATGATTTGAGCATAAGAATATTTTGTGTTGGAAAGGGCTGCTACGTTCTCTTTCATCACACTGCCTTCGAAACACCAAACAATGTAAAAATGTAGTTCTAATGCATGCCGTTCCATCGCGACTTTACATCAGCTGTTGTTGTCTTTATTTATTCAATTTCGCTCAAAGCTACTCAAGAGCTATCTACGCTAGCCACCCCTAATTTAGAAGTGATAGGATCGAAGGAAAACAGCATCACCCACTGCCAACTCTTGGGCTACTTTTTTACTAATGAAACGTCGGATGGACGGTCGCGTTATAACACCTCTTCGGGTGAAAGGGCAGGGATGTTCGGAGACGGGATTCGAACCCGCGACCCGCAGATTGCGAGTCTAGCGTTCTAACCACCAGACTATGCCAGAACTCTGTTGTTGTCACGTGACTTGCTAATTTGCATATTCAGTATTGTTTTTCAAAGACATTTCGGGTTCTGTTCGGGGAAAAAATTCGAAGAGGACCACAAAAAATACTGTCAATTGATAGCTACAACATGGAAGATTAGAAAAGAATATATCTATTGTTTGATCATTTGAAATTTGTAGAAACTAAGAGATTACCTGAACCAACAACTTGAAGTCTTGCTGTTAGCATGTCAAATAGGCTAGGCAGTCGATGATAAGTTCTGTCTGACGTAAACTTTCACTTGTGTTCAGCTGATAAAGAGTAACTGTAACAAGCACTTCAGTGTTTCATCTTATTTACAATTATCTGAAGTTATGATACATTGTTAGCAATCTCTTTAGTGAGGTAGGCACGATGATGATAGATACGGAAAACGAATATTTGTTCAATGAAAAATAAACTTTGATTGATTTAAAAATCCAAAAAGGGTGTGTTTGAACTTTTGAACTGTTTGTTTAAATACAGACTCAGATTTGAATGCAAGTTAACGAAGCATTTTTATGTAAGAGCTTGAGTTCTATTTAGAACGTGAAAGACGTTATGAAGTTGATGCTGATGTAAAGTAAATGGTCATATTTGAAGAAACAATTAATTTTCAAAAGTATGATGGGAAGAAGGTTCAAAGTTATGTTCATTGATAATAAGGCAACAGTAGGTTGATCATGAAAATAATGCAACAGTGGGTTCATCAAGAGAAAGAGACATTCTGTGGACTTCTATAGGAATTAACAACCTTTTAATTGCTTGAACATATTCTTACCCATCCACGTACATTTAAACTCGTCGAACTCCCTGTGTAATAAATGAATCGCTCAGAAAAATTGTATTTTATATTTATGGAAAAGGTATTAAGGCTATCAGTCACCGTCTCTAATTTGAACTATTAACCTAAGGAAGGCAGCCAGACAGTGGCATTCTACCGCTCAGCATTCACGCTAAGGGATTGACTGTCACTCTTATAATTCATTCACAGCTTAAAATGCGAAGAATATGTTATGGCAATGCAAGGATTCGAAACCGGCTCATCAGTTCCAAAATCCATAGCTCTACCACAGGGCCAATTCACCACCTCCCCCCAAAAAAGGTCCAATTGTTGTGAGGAGATGTTTACTTGTAATGTCAATATTCTAGGCATTGTGAAAAACATTGTCAAATACCTAGTTGTAAGAAGAACACATTCTTTCAGATAGTGTCTAGTTATAAAACAAATTATTATAATAATACTCAGTTTTTGCCTGTCCTGAAATGCACGCTCCTCTTACTATCTAAATGCGCATGCGCGCGTACTACATTTCAACGTATGTAAGCAGAAGACGGATGCAAATATCCTTTAAAAGATATTTTGTACAACAACTTATTAAAAGCTTTTTAAAGTTTTAATAAATATCTAATGTTAGGTCGTAGAATAACATTATATGTATATTTATTGATAGTATTAACAACGGTAAAGTTTAGCCCTAACTGTACTAAAGCAAAAAAACGTAGACAAGTTACAGTGTCAATTTATCTCTTTATCAAATATAGACTGTACTTGATAAAGGCTTAATTAAAACTAGGCCTAAAACAATGGACTTACAGATTTCGGTGCTTACAATTAGAATTGTCATTATTATTCTAGAAATCCTGTATTTAAAGTAGTACTGTTGCAATAAAAATATTAATTTTGCCAGTAGTTAATATTAGTTACAAAGCATCTAGTCGTTCTGAAAACATCCCCAGCTTTATTGATTAAATTATAGCAGTTGGAAAAAACGCCTATGTGTAGTAAAAAATAGTAATTGTGAATAAACATAGTAAAATAACCCTTCTTTCTGAAACAAAAATGTAGTTACGTAAAAATGTCTTCTTTCTAGAAAATGTTCACTTATGGTGAAGAAATGTTTCGTTATATATGTGGCTAGGCGTTTAAAATTTTTTATTTGTTCTAAGTATCTAGTCATTGTGAAATGTCTATTTGATGCGAAAAAGTTCTAGTTAATTTTAAAGATCTCTAATATCTGACAAAAAATCTATTCATTATGAAGAAAGGTACACGTTTAGTTATGGTATACAAGCATTTATTTGGTGCAAACAAAGTGATTGATTGTAATCATTCACAAAGCTACACATTGGGCTATCTGAGCTCTGTTCACCACGGGTATCGAAACACGGTTTCTAGCGTTATAATCCGCAGACATACCATTGTGCCACTGGGGGGCATAAAAAAGTGAACTTGTGACAAATTACATTTATTTTTCGTATACATACGTTTAAAATAGGTAAAAAAAATCACATTGCTTTGAACAAAAACATCAGATACAAATTATACGTAAGCCAATTAAAAGAGAAGGTAACTTTTCTTCACCAATATTACACTTACAATATTGCATTATACGTTC